ATTGATTTGATATTTGCTTATTTCCGCAAATCCTTAGACCAATTGAAGTGGCAGTCAATCACCAATCCCACATGGATTTAAAGTGGCATTTTATTTTATTTTTATTTTTTTACATTCGAAATGTATGAATTAACCAGGCTAGAGATGAGATATTCCTCATAAATCTCAGTAGGGCTGTGTGGGACTTAGTTGCACACCTATACTTTTATCCCATACCTTAATGAAATATAAATAATCAGGAATATTTTATTAATAAAACAAACAAACAAAGCAAAATAACACATGGAAGCCAGTTAAAAGGTAATCAAAAGGTCAAAGGTCAAGATACCTGTGAGAAACACAGAAGGAATTTTGAAGCTAAGATTCCACAACTCGCATTTTTCACTCTTTCAATTGTGGGAAAAATGATTCTGATGGATGGGTTTCTTATCTCTTGACTTGCACTCCAGCAGCCCCACTGTAAACAACTAACAATAAATGAACTACTGATTCCAAAGATTAAAGTATTTCAGATTTTAATTCTTGCTACACAAACAGCAAATAGTAAAAGTTTCTTACGTCTGGATCAGACTCGTCAGAGTCAGAGAACTGCACTGATGTCTTTCCAGATGCTGCTGAAAATGCAGCTAAAAACTGTGCAGTGACTGACCCAATTGAGGATGAACCTTGACAATAGAACAGATAAGTATGAAACTAGGACTGGGTGTCAAATTTCTGGAGAAGAGTCTAGTATTATACAAGAAAACACTCACCGAAAACAAAATCAGTTTCCAAATATTCTGGCCATTTGTAATGACTTAAAACCTGATACAAACAAAAGAAACAAAAAGAAGATAAATGTCAAACTTAAAGGAACATAAGGATAAGATGGCCGTTTCGCGGACAGGAACAAATGCATACTAATCAGATTGAATTTTTTAAAGAACTGTTAGCTTCAACCATGGTTATTATAATCGGACGATTCACGATTTGATTCATACGATTCGATATAAGTTTCAACAAAAAATTATTCGAATCGTGCTATTAAATTGGAAATTGAGTGAATCGTAAGCTTCCATTTATGATTCAATGCAATTCACTACGATTCACATGATTCACTGCGATTCAATACTACTTCTATTTTTGTTTACATAATGTATGAAACAACGTTGTTTTCACCAAACTATGAAAATATATAGAAGAGATTAATTAATTATATTGATATGCATGATTTTATATGTATATACATATATATAATTTAGTCCTATTGATAATCTACTTTATTTTAAACACTGTATGTATTTATATTATGTATATAAATACATAGAATTATCAAGATTCACTATTTTAGCAAAATGATTCACAATTTGATTTGCGATTTGGCAAAAATGGCTTCAACAAGATTCAAATTGAACTTTTTACTTTGATCCATAATCCCAATAATTAGAACTCTCATTTTTTTTTTTTCCTTTTCAGTTTAATAATATAAAACTTCCAAGTAGTCACCAATTTAAGGTGCTTTTGCTTGCTCAAGTAGTTTCATAGCTCATTTTCTCATTAATTACCATGAAGAAGAGGCACATAAAATCTGATGGAAACTTTAATGCTAAAAATAAAACAAATCTTAATACTGTTAAGCAAAGTCCCCTATCACTTGGGTACTAAAGTACTATTAAGTACATAAGCATGAAGGCACCCCCACCTCAATAGCTAGCTTTTGGGGTTTAGTTTCACACAAGACCGTATAACAAATACCCTTTTGCTAAACAGGAAAAAGAAACATAAATAAATAAGAGAACTTTTTTATGCTCAAACAAAACCTAGACTCAAATCTTTTGTACCATATTTTACTAACAATTTTCAAAACATAAAATGAGTTATGCATTCATAAACATGTAAATATATGCAAAACCGAAACTTTCAACAACAAAGTGATGAATTAACACTTGACTAACACATAAAAAATGTGCATGCATGCAAAATAGGTTTCTCATTAGAACCATAAGAAACTATGTACCAAGAGATGCGAGAGCATGGAGGGCCATCGTCCCCTAGGATCTAAATGTTCCACCTTTTCCCAGTTGCATTTGAGGACACCTCCAAAAATTACATAGGTGGCCCCAAAAGAATGCAGCATATGATTTAGTTTTCCGATGCAGCCCTCCCAATCACAAATCTCACCACAGTTGAATGTTCCACGTACTAAAGGAAAAACTATGGTAGCGTTTGTTAGAGTTTTAGAATTATGATTTGAGTGTGGAAAATTTGTTTGGTCATGAGTTTTGAAAATAGTTTTGAATTGAGTTTGGAATTTTTAATGTGACATGATATTTGATTCAAAAACTTACCACTCATAGCCAAACACATAACCCAAAATTCTATTCAAAGCCTATAAAAAAATTTTAAAAAATTCCGAAAATATTTTCTATTTAAAATATAAAAATAACAGGTGCCAAAAAAAAACAAAACAAAACAAAAAACACTGTTCCGGTCAACCGGCCAGATTTCCGGAGGAACATCCGAAAGGATGACCGGGTAGACATATTTTCAAAAGTGAGTGTGAAATCAATGTTTGAAAATTCTAACCAAACACAACACTCAAACCAAGGTGTGGAATTAAGTTTCCAAAACTCCATCAAACACAGCTTATAATCTCACAAACTTCATCGCTATTACCTCTTGAAGTCGCCAGAGGCCTGTAGACCTCTGAATTGATGCAACTAACAAGCATATTGCAGAAACATGTTCAGATTGTACTTCTTTTGATATGTCTAAAAAGGTAGGTCCCTGAACAAGATAACACCACAAAAACTTGGCATAAAACATACTATCATAGTAAATAAGCTGCAAAGTCTACACTATAAGAAAGGATCCAACATATGACTTGAACATCACCTGTGACACATACAGTATCATTTGTACTAAGCTGGTGCTTCCTTCTAAAGCAGTCACGAGGACTTCTTTTGGATAAACATATCCAGAAAACCTGAATAAGCCACTATCTGATAAAGGAGCAACCCACTTTGCAATATTTCTTGGTAGAAACCCAAGTTGAACGCAATCTAGTGCAAGGAGTGAAACAGACAATTAAAATGCTATAGTAACAGCACAATAGCCCAAACACACATGGAGAAAAAGATCAGCTTCCAATAAATGCAAATTTAAAGCATCACATTTGCAAGAAATGCAACATGGAAGCACCTTGTAGTGCCACAAATGAGGACTTATATTCAGGAACCACTTTTGGGATCGAAGGGAAAACCTCAGTTAGGGCAAGAGAAGCTAACGGCAAGCACTTAATGGATTTGGAATAGAAAATGAATTCATGTCTACATATTTAACGCTACTTTGACCATGCTAGTGTTCTGCTTAATATGTCTGGCGCTCTTGACAACATTACTTCAAAAATATGAGGGTTTCTACAAAAATCCACTTCCCCCAAAAAAACAAAATGCCTAATACTGATTTAGAGCTCATATTGTACACTACTAAAGCCCAATTTAAAAGAGAGAGAGAGAGAGATAAGAGCATCTTTTCTCAGGTTTTCAATTTTTATCTAGATGCAATAATTTTTGGTGGTACAAGCATTATTTGATTACCATTTACCGCAAGGCCATTTAGAATGAAGATATGTAGCTAAATGCATGGATAAACACTTTTTACTAGCGTAGGGCCTGTGTGGTGCTTGCCTTGGATGTTCACCAAGCAAGCCTGCCAAAGATTATCTTGCAACAAGCGTGCAAACACACCCATGGTGCACAAATGAGCAACAAATAAAGGCAAACTAATGTGCAATGTAAAGGCACAACAAAGCAATGAGAGGCACACAAAGATATAAAAGCACTATGATTAAGGGAGCAAACTACAAAGTATCCAGACCACAATTCAATAGGGCGGCAAAGTAAGCGACATGCACTAGGACGGTCTTGGACTTACCTTGCTGGCTTGCTTATCCTCCCCTATGTAAGTTTTCTAAGCATTTAAACATCAACCCATTTGAGCAATCATAATAGGTCTACTGTCTAAAACAAAATTATAAGGAACTTGCTCAAACTAGTAGGGGTACAGTTAGATATGACCCTAAACTAATTTTGCTAGCCTTTTGGAAAAATTAAAACATATCTCCTCAATGGGGCTTTGACACACAAAACTCGAACTCATCACCCCATGTTACGGGAAAATCAACACATGAACCGCTACAACTATTTATCATTGGATTCCCTACTATATTACATTGTTAGATCAACTAACTCTAAAAGTTTAATCTTTTATATATCCATGTCATATGTTATATATCATAAGTTTTATGATAAGTCTTTGCAAGTAGTTTTTGAATGATGAGTAGTCTTTGCAAGTAGTTATATATCCATATCATAAGTCTTTGCAAGTAGTTTTTGAACGACGAGTTTTAGACATCAATAAACCCCAAATCTAAGGATCCAAGAGTTTTGACCCAACAAATCTCAAGTGATTGAGAAAATCTGCATTTCTTCAACATAAATTTATATAAATTGTCAAATCGGGATTCGAATCGTGAATCGAAATGGCCTCGTGCCGAATCGCGAATCGAATCGTAAATCATAAAGATTTGGTCACTTATTCTAAATTACTTAGAAAAATATATCTACACACTTAGATGTTAAACATATCTTATGAATATGAAACATTAAAACTTAAATCAATGAAATTGTTGTTTTGAATGATGATCACATAATTTAATAAGTAAGAAGTTAACAAAGGTTCTTATATAAGATCACCATCTTACCTTTTTCCTTTTTTAAATATTTCTTATCAACCATTCTTAATAAAGATAGTAAACAAAAACAAACTTTCAATTTTCAAAGTAACAATAATTTAACCATATTGAAATTTGGACAATAAATATACATACTTTTCCAAATAACAATGACCAAATAATAAGAAGAATTATTTAGAATATTTTATTTTAAAACCTAAAATATTTTAAAATGTATAATTGACCTCACCCATGAAATATTCAACTATAATTAATTTAATAAAATAGTAATAAATAATTCATGATGTAAGTTACTTTAATTTTAAACATTTTTAGAAGATATATTATGATTTTTTAAAAGAAAAAATGAGAAGAAAGGTTAAAAACATGTTGGGTCTGACTAAATATGATTGGGTCCTATTAAAAACTCCATGATCACTAAAATAATAACAAATCATGTAAATATATTGGTTATTTTGGTATTAAACGCTATTAGAAGTTGTATTATGTTATTTTCACCAAAAAGATGGAGAAAAAAGTCAATAATATGTTGGACACGATAGTTTTAAAAATTGCATGAATCATAAAAAATAAATTGAATCATGAATTGATTGTGAATCGTGCGATTCACTAGAGATTCACTTCCAAAATATATTCACTTATAGATTCATATCGATTTTGCAAAAATTGCGAATCGAATCAGGAATCGAATAGCGAATCACAAGATTCTGATAACAGAAATAAACATGATAATGGCTCAAAAATACTTGACAGCATAAAAATTGTCATTAACTGCCCTGAATTTTTTTTTTAATATGGTTCAATGATCAATCCCCCTATTTCTCTAACTTGTACAACTCCCCTTATGCTTATGTAAATGGTGCCACACCATTATTGTATTGAAATCCTAACCACAAACCAATAGACTGTTTAGACTAGATGGTCGAGTTGAATACTTCCTGCACACACCACATGCTTCCAGTTAGTGTATAATTTGTGGTCTTTCAGTATAGCCAACACCTATTACTTGCACTGAATGCTCTAATATGTCATGGCACATTTCAACATATCATTTATCAAGCACGGTAAACATACTATAGATGCAAGCATCACTACATGTGTTTTACTATAAATATATTGTACATCACGGGATTTGCCCTCGCAAATGGATTTAAAACATGCATGTATCAAGCCTTACTCCCAATAACTTGGTTCAGTTTTATAAATGAAACTATGTTCACAAATATCTACAATATAAATGAAATTTAAAAGATTTAAAAAACACACACACACACACACACACAAACACAAGATATAGGCTGAGTAAGTGTTAAGCAAAGTGTCTTGTACCTCCCTCAGAAAACTCTTCTGGATTAGGAACAAGAATGCTCACAGCATTTGCATCAGCTGGTATATTTGTGTTTCTTCTTAAAACAATCTCCAGCATCCCATTTGCATTTTCATAACACTTTCCAAGGAAAGAAGCAAGTTTCTTTAGCTGTGACCCATTTGTATCTGTTGAAGTGCGAAAAAGATGGCTTAAACCAACTACAGATGTTTCAATAGAACCTAGGACCTTCACACCATATGACTGTGATGCACATTGCTCACCCTGCCATCAAAGTAAAAGATGCAATTCTATAAATCACTTCGTCAATCACAACATTCTCAACAAAGAAAACCCCATAATGATCTACTCCTCCATATTATTGTTTTGTATTGAAGATTAAATTTAATAGAAAAAAGAGGTAGTACAAACAGGGTAGGAAGAACATGCATCCCCCAAAGCAGTAGGGCTGAGCATAAAAACAAAATAATAAAAAACTACAAACTGGTCCAATCCAGACCAAACTGCACTATTTGGTTTGGTTTCCTCAATGCATGGTTCGGTCCTGATATTTAAAATAGGTGAATTGTACCGTACTTAAGTTTTCGGTTTGGAACCAAACCAAACTGTTTAAAAATATACATACGTATAATTTGTTATTTATGGTATACACTCAAGTATTTTACTAGTATCCTATATATATTCATAAGTTGTTAACCCCTAACTTACTAGTGTGTTCTAATATAATAGTATAACTAGCTCTAAACAATCATTTAAACAATTTTGTTTGTAAAATAATGATATATTGCTTGATCTTTGAACTAGTTATGATTATATTGTGAATAATAACAAAGTTCATGAAAATCGTGGTTCCAAACCGAGCCAAACTGCATTTTCATGGTTTAGTTTGGTTTAGTTCCAAGATTTTCATGGTTCGGTTTGGTTCCAAATTTTATGAAACCATAGGTTTTGGTCTTGGTTAACATCAAAACCGAATGCAACTGAACCATGCTCACCCCTACAAAATAGACAATAAAGAATGGACAATAAAGAAAAGGGTAGAAAAAGCCAACCAAAAGATTAAACTTCGTTTAATGGCCACTAAAGGAGGGTATAAATGGCCACTAAACTTTGTGTGGATAAAAGAGGTTAGAGGCGATCAGTCGTTGACCTCTGGGAAGATGGCAAGCACTTCATTGGCCTGAGATCACCAAAGGCAGAAGAGGAGAAGACCAAGGCAAGCTTAGAGAGGAAAGGGGTGGCAGTGAGAGACCTTCAACACTTTGTATATATTGTTGTATGATTCTTGTTGTTCTTGTTATGATTGTGGCTGCACTTATGATGCCATTATATAGACTCTAGGAGTATTGGAGCCCAAGCAACCTCAAGACAGGTGGCAAGTTTTCCTCGACTCGACAAGAGGGTGATATCGGCCCTACTAGCTATGTCCTATGATTCAAGTCCTTAGGAAGGTTGCATCATAGGAGCGGCATGTGTGGGTATGATATCTTAAGAGACGTATCATATATACAACAAGTGTAAGTGTAAGGTCAACATTCCCTTTCTCTAAGCCAAGTCAAGGTGGAACTGTCACTGCAGGAAGACAGGTACACGACCTTGATGTTCCCGAGGTCTTAGCCTCCAATCCACAATCCTCCAATGATTTCAAGTGAGAGTGCCTAGGTCCTGATCCCAACCTAGGCAGCCAAAGGGGTGAGTGCATGGGTGAGCCAAGGACTCATCCTGGGCAACTAAGTGAACATAGGTGAGCCAAGGGTCCAACTATGTTGCTATGGAGCTGGGGTGAGTGGGCAAAGAATATATTTCTTATGCGTCATAAAGAACCATAAAGAGCTCTAGGTGAGCTAGGTCTATTAAGGTGAGCCATGGTCCTGTTTCCATACTTGGTGTACATGCCCCTACTTATGCTACGCACACAACCCTAGCTCATTGTGGTGCCTCAGGAGTTTGCCACGTGGATGTGCGATGATGATGAGGTGATGCCCATACGGCTCGCCACGTGCCAAGCACGATCTAGATACCCACACTTTGTTTCAAGGGTAAAACTCTCCAAACTTTAGCAAGCTTCCCAGGTTTCCAAATCATAATCCTCATTATCCAGAACATGCCGCCATTAAAAGGCTAAGAAAATTAGGCTCAGGACTGCATGTATTTAAGTAAAACACTGGCATTTACTAATGCTGATGCACAAATAGAATGGTGATGGATCCATTATTTAGATAATAGAATAAGAAAAAACAATGACCTTTTTTAATACTGTCTTGACTACTACAAATCAGCTTTTCAATTCAAGCTAGAAGCACACACACAAAAGCAGATAAATGAAGTACTCACAGGTAAGAAGTACATGGGTTCCAAGATAGAAGGTGCCCTGCGAGAATGAATTCCAGGTACAGAAGCAACAAGATGGCCAACTGCCCCCTTAAAGTCATATTTAGTCAATTCTAGGATCCAGTGGGACTGACTAGGTACATCAGCAACAAGAGATGCCATAAATCCGCCCAGCTGAGCAGCAAAATCAGATTTTGAATATTGATTTATGTCCCCATCAGATAATTGAGTAAAAAGAGATAAATAATCAGGTCTGCTGGCACGAGGAAAATCCTGCCACCAAATGGTATTGGTCACACTGTTCCACTGCAGAATACAGAAGACCAGATGAGAAACACAATACACAAGATGATCACACTAATTATGTTTGTGCAGAAGATTCTAATATGCAGGCTAAAATAAGCTATAATTAATAGTATTAATTAACAAAAATGCTATCCATTTAGCAAGGTCTTTCGTAGAAATCAAGACCAAAATAATACCATGCAATTAGTAATGTGCTCAACAACTAAGCTCAACCCAACAAGCCTTGGTCCCAATTACTTGGGTTGGCTATACCAATCCATTTCCTCCAATTGATTCTATTTGAAGTCATACCTTTAAAGTAATCATGTCCTTTTTGTAATCCAAAACACCGTTCATGATTAGAATGACAGAGATAGAAATCTGGAACACTGTGTCCTTTATTGAGGCTTTTTACCCCCTAAATACAGAGTAAAAAACAGAGCAAATTCAAAAGCAATACAATTTAGAGTTGCCATCCATAAACACTTTCTCACTCAGAAATACACAGTGAGAGAAGAAGTCCCAAACAAAACAAGAAGCAGAACACTACTTATAGTGTGTCCATTGTAAATACAACATCCAAATTGAAGTTGCCAAATAGTGAAAAGACAGAAAAACAATATGGGTTAATATAACCACTAGAAGCTGTGAGGATTACATTGAAATAAGTGTAGTTGAAAACAAGAAGGAATAACCAAAGACATTGCAACTTGTGAGTGCCTGAGCAAAAGATAGGCATTCACTAGTAATAAAAGTAAAAAGGCAAAGCATTAGACTTTTCTTTTTCTTTTCTTTTTTTACTTATTTATTCTATTTTTTGGTACAAATGGAAACATAGCTAGAGTGAGGCAAAGATGATTGGCCTTTGTTAGAATTTACCATCACCTACCATCACTACCACCTCACCTACTCCACTAAACCTAACCCACTACACCACTACCACCTCACCTACTCCACTAAACCTAACCCACTACCACCATCCACTACACCTACATCTATATAAGGAATCATTTGTAATAGACAGAATATCAATCAATATAAATCAATCAATAATACATACAATTTATTCTCTCTCTATTTCTCTTTATACATTAAATTTTACATGGTATCAGAGCCAGGTTAAGACCTTAGTATTTCTCGCTTCACCGCGGGCGGCAACCTCGCCTTGGCCGCCCGCCGGACCTCAACCTATTCCGCTTATTTTCTACACATACCTTGACTTCTTCAACATTTTCTTACACCCCTCCTCCGCTATGTCGGCGGCGGCACCCGCATCATCGTCTAGCCTCTATCGCCGTTCACCTCGCCTCTCACATATCCGTGGTTGTACTCTTACTCGTCGTCGTCGTTGGCGTTTCTGGGGCTGCTTTTCTGCTCGTCACTGCTGTTTTTTTCCCGATTTGCTCTCTCTCTCTTAGCCATGGATTTGGGTGTGGGGTGTAGAGCTGTGGCTCTGTTGTTGGTAGCCATGTTTGCTGGCTTGAAGGTTTCAATGGCAGCAGTGTACAAGGTTGGGGACTCCGCTGGTTGAACCATCATTGGGAATATTGATTACAAGGCCTGGGCATGTTGGAGATGTCATCATTTTTTAATACAATTTTCAATGTCACGTGTTGCAAGTGCCCCACAAAGAATACCAAGCCTGCAGAAGTGTAAGACAGTAACATGCATCTTCACATACAGCTTGGGTAATGTGTAACTATCAAAAGCACAAGCTTCTTGGACATCCCTCTCTCTCTCTCCATGGACCCAACATCATCATCATGCACCCACTCTATCTCCCTCTCTCTCATCTTTTCCCACTTTCAAACCCACTTTAATCATATCTCTCCTTTCTCTTAATTTATTTCATCAACAAATATTTTTCTCTATTTTCTTTATCCATTATTTTCTTTTATTTTATTTTTCTTATTAAACAAAACAACACCACAAAATAACACCAACAACATTCCACAACCTTGTCATTTTATTCATATCAGGGGATCAACCCCGATCACACTTTTACATAAAAAAAAAATAAAAAAAATAAAAAAAAAAAACCACACAAACAAAAACAAAACTACCACACCCACAGTGGGATTTTTCTTCTCTACTCAGCCGCCGGTCTTTTCTTCTTGCCTCCGTCCTGGGTGGTCCTTGCCGGTGTTGCCTCCGTACTTCCTAGACCACCAAGCAAGTTGCCTCCTCCCTGCTCCTCCACTACAGCATACGGTGGACCTCCAAATCGGAACATCACGGTGGCCTTCCGCTTCAGCTCCTTGTTTTCTGTCTTTAGCACACTTATCTCTGCTCGCGCATCCTTATACATGCGTTGGAGCAGAGCCAGCTGGGAGTTTAACTGTTGCACCTCATTTGTCCTGCTCTGCAGCCGGTGCGACAAGTCTGTGACCGCAGTCATGGTTTCCACACAGGACTTCAGAGTATACTGATTGGCCTCAATATCAGTTTGCACCACCATTTTTTGCTCCATGCTCCACCGCCGCATCGGAAAGTTTAATGGCAGCAAAACCAGGATGGTGCTTTGGTTGGGTTACTGCGCCACCGCACCAGTTATTTCTCTTGTGGACTCGTTCAAGTTTTGGAAAGAGCGTAGGCCGGAAATGAGCATGTTCTGGGTTGAATGGCACTGAGGAAGAAGAGGCCATGTTTTTAGAGTTGCTAAGTTGTTTCAGAGAAGGGTTGGTTTCCGGTG